TAAACCGAAGCTAAGTAATCTTAGCAGCTGCAAAATTTCAAACCAGTTACAGGGGCTATAAACTAAGTCGCAAGATGGAAGGAAGGAAACATGGAGAACAAGAAAAGATGAACTGTTAAGCTTCTTTTGCAAATACGGAGTTTGATTTAATGTTCCAGATTACTAACTTGGATTATTTGATTCCAACTGCTGGGGCTAACCAACGCTTTCCCTTAACGAGTCTGAATGAAACGTGCTTTCCATAGCCCTTGTAGAGATAACATAAAAGTACACAACAATATCAGTAATAGGGAAAGTCAATATAATCCTTAATCACAAGAAAAATATCATAAAGTAGCATGGTCTCCATAGGAACTACACAAAATCTGGAGCTTGTATTTTGCAGGTCTCTCTGGTGTTGCATTGTAGAGCTCAGCCTGCGGTCCCTGACATGACCAGTGGACACGTGTTGGCTGGCCTAGAAAGGGGAAAAGGGGATGTAAGTGTCCTCCCTTAAAATGGCTCTCTTTTAGAGGAGCAGTTGAGTACAGTGCATCTGAAGCTAAGGCAACCAGGGCTCCAACCTACAAGATACTCAGTGATCTACCCATTTATATGCTGAAGAGGAAATAGGAAATGCCCAACTAGATGCTACAGTCATCTATATATTTCTTCAGGAGTGGGTCTGATGTTGTAGCTTTGTCTACTATGTTATCATAAATACATACCTTGTCTGTAGTGTATGCAGAAAAAATGCCATTCAACAGCTTTGACTAAAAAAAACACCACAAAGGACGGCTGTTAGCAAGTGCTTAAACCTTCTATCGAGCACTGAAATACCATGGATGTTCTTCAGATCCTCCTGCTTCTTGTGCAGCACTGCCTCTGATGGGTACAAGCTCCCACTTAGGATGCCTGAATTTTCTTCACTGGTTAAGGACATAAGTTAGTGAAAAACAAAGATGTTAGAAATCCTCCAAAGTTACAACACCATAGAATTTTTGCATGCCTTTGGGTGACTAGCACAGCTCCTGAGTCTTATCTCTATGTACAGAAAATGGGAATAATTATTCCCTCTCTCAGCAGTGTAGCAGGGAAAACCGGCAACTCCCTGGAAGACTAGGAAGCCCTCAGGTATTGTAGCAGCGAGGTTCTTATAGGTATACCGATAGACAAACCGATACATTAAAAAGATATAAAAAATGTTTTCTTATATGGTCAATTATAAATTCAAAAATATTAAGCAATACAGTCAGTGCGCTCCCAATGGGCCTTAGTTTTGCTACACATTCTCAGGTAAAGTAATCATACATCTTTACTTGCTGAAGCGACTTGCACCGTAAAGTTCTATCTTCATTAGGGTAACGGTAGCAAAATCAGACCTGGCAGCTCTATTTTCCTTTAAATCTTCCTGCCCTAGTGTAACTAGACTCGCACTGAAAATTAAAAGCAGACAAGGGAGGAATATAGATGTAAAGAGCAGGAGCAGACATTATTATTGTCAGTGAGAATTAGACAGTCAATCTTTCTGACCACAAAGCAATTTAATTTCGCCTTTTACTGCATCCATTTTCTCTGATTAATCTTAATGATGTCAGACTTCTTGTCCCTTGGGGCTGGAAGGCTGCGGGACATCGTCCAAGCCTTTGACCCAAGGCCCTGCGTCCGCCTCTCTGGTGATCCTGCAGGTGGAAGCAGCTGGAGTCCTGACACTTCTCAAATGCGCAGGTGATAATCTGACAAGCGTTCTTCCTCTCTCTGTGAAATGTGCCATAACATTAAAGGCCTGAGTTACTGCTCAGCCCTTAACAGCTGTTGACTTTTCCTGACAGCATTAATACAATATTAGACACAGAGATGTTTCAACAGGGAGAGATGTTTAATGAAATTGCAGGTCTGCGAGGTTTCTATCAAAGGTGTTTATTCAACCGGAGCTCACATCTGCAAGACTTCAAAAGAAGAATTTATCTATATACAAAAGATACCAGTAGCTTGAGTCATTTGCACACAAAATGACTCCACTTGCTGTTAAAAGGTTTCCATTTTCTGACTCCCCTTACAGGAAGTCTAATCTGCTGTCACCAACACATACAAGCTTTGTCTGTTTGAAAAGTTCATTGTCTGTTACTATGACCAAGCACAACACCGAGACAGCTGTGTCTCATTCCTGTGTGCTCCAACGCTTTTCCTTAAGATCACATCGAGTACTATTAACAAAAAAAGGCAGCTTAAAAAATAACCTTAACATAACTTTAAAAAAGAAAGGAGCCTTTTTTTGCCTTTTTTTTTCTTTTTCTTTTGGGATATCTACCTCCATCTGCTGCTTCTAAGTCTAATGCTCAGGAATAAATTAACCAGTGGAGAATGCATGTATTCTTCATAAACTGCTATATAAATTAAGTTGTCGTGAATTTATTCATCTTAATCAGCCCCTTCTTTTGCCCCAGTTTTGCAGTCTGTTCCTTCAACATCTATGTTTACTCCTGTATGTATTAAATCTATCAAATTCAAGTTCCCTGGTAATACGCCCGAGAGCAAGAATCTACTAAGTGAAGCTTGCACACCTCCTTACCCTGACAGCATCTTCTTTAACTACTTACAAATAGGATCAAGATGTAAAAGTGAGAGGATGAATTTCATGGCAACATGGATTTCTACCTGATTTCCATGACAGCACATTTTATGGGTATTACTATGTTCAATGCATTAAGAATGCATTATCGCAAACTTAGCTGCTCCTTTCTGGAAACATGGTAGGAAACCACTGAATATAGTTCTAGTAAAATAAGAAATATTTTGTTTTCACATCATTAGACTTTCTAGAGGAATGAATGATGAAGAAAAGGTCAAGCTAAATTTTAAGCTGATGTTTCAATCTGACAGCTCTTCTTTCCTGTGGTCCCAGATGTGGTTAAAAACATAGTTATTTATTTTGTAATCTATTGGAATATAACCCCTTTTCTCTACGTAGTGGGGACCAAGCTGCTGTGTTAATCACTGAATAATGACAGTTTCCTTTAAGAAAAATAAAAATGAAGACGTATATTTTTATCCTGAAAAAAGGTTTTGCCATGTAAATAAAGTTAATAAATATTTAAATTCCATCACCTAATTAAAGACTGTACCATAGTACAAATGCAAAAGGAAAGGGGGGAAAGGATACTTTAGCATCCTCAGTTTTGGTATTTCCTTACTCTTATCTGCTTAGCTGTTCAAACTGGGCATTAGTTTAACCATTGTTTTTTGTTTCGAAAAAAAATCAGATGGTCAAGAAAAAACCCTAAATCTGTCTTTCCAGAAGTGACTGAGAGGTACAAAAAGATATTTTTAGAGGGAGCAACACAAATCCTTCAGCTTTTGCAGGGCCAGCTGTGGAATAATCCAGGGATACTGGTAGAGGACTGCCAATATGAATTAAGTTAATTAAGGTGAGTTCTCAAATCCTTCCCAGTTAGACTGGCAATGTCATAGTTTGAACAGATTGTTCTCTGAGAAAGAACGACATTTACTCAAAATAATATAGGTGAGGAGAACAAAAGGCTGAAGTACTATTGCGTATTTCTCTGCAGTGGTGGGTGGCTGTTTTTGCATTCACTCCAGAGCGATTTTAAGCTGGTTCGGGCACCTTTGGGCCTCCGAGTGGCTGAGGTGGGCCAGCACGCATTGCGGGCTACAAACTCACCGAGGAACCCACACGGTTTTTTCTGTGCTTAGACTATGCTGAATGTTTTCCGAACACAGTGACACTGCTCTCACCATCCGAGATAGCAAAGCTCAAACCCAGCTCAGAGACGTCTATACTGGATGACTTGCAGTGAAGGCATGTGACTTCCCCGGCACATCTAACCCTAAAGGCATAAAGCTGATTATATTTCTGGTTTTATTTCCAGACAAGCAAAATACGAACATTATATTTCGGCAGGACAGGCATAGCCCTGCGAAATACGGCACACTGTAATAGATTATTTCACATGAACTGGGAGGAAAATGTGAGAAGGTTAATTTTTAATGTTTGTGCTTAAAAATGTGTGGGAGAGTGACCCACAGGTAGAAGATCTCATTGTTGTTTAAAATTGAAGAAGCTACTCGACCCGTTGACTCCGTTACTCTGCTAAACCAGTATGTATGCAAAATCCAAGAGCCAGATGCGCTCCTAGCTAGATGTCTAATTCCCATCAAAGTCAAGAACAGGAACAGTCATTTATGAGCCGAGACCCTTGCAACCAACACCAAAAATCACTTTCTACAGGAATGTACATCAACTTGGGCATTCTGCCATGCCATTAAGTCTCCTTTCAAATACAACTTTCAACTTGGGAAGGAATACCAAAGCAAGCAGAATACCGTTTCTCACCAGGAAGGGGTTTATATACTTTGACTTAGGATGACTTAGAGTATACGACGGTAGAAGTTTCAATCCGTGTGTCATTTGTGCAGAGAAAATCCTCGATCCAATCTTACAAACTTTAGCCACATGAATAAAATAAACCACTTCCAGAAGTTGTTTATATGCGTATGAGCTAGTCATGCGAAAAACTCATCATACCCGACTGCTTTCTGAATGTTACGTCCTTCTTGCAGATTGGAATTACGTTGCATCATGATGCTTGTTTTAAAAAGCTTTTTTTTAAGCTTCTGGGCATGGCAGAGATTAACATGCATTTGGGCAGCAGAATTAAATGTTACCTCTAAGTTTATTTTAGCCAAATGAATATAATCCCTGGGATTATTTAGAGTATTTTTCTCAATGCTCCGTGTATACTTGAGAAAGAGCAACTTCACCTTCAGACGTACATTTCCTTGTCCAGTTCACACTTGTGATATATTCACCAGTTATTAATTAAAAAGCCGATGTTAATGCTCATTTTCATGCCATAATCTCTCCTGCTTTTTGTCTCAGTAAGCCTGCATATTTTTTTTTTTTTTTTTTGTTAAGCAAGACCCTTAAAAACCTTTATATTTCTACTCAGAGCCCTACATTCATATTTAGGCATTAATCCCATTCACCTCAGTGGGTCTCGATGGGATTTTTGCCTGAGGTAAGACTAGAAGGTGCAGACCTGATATTCATGCGCTTTGACACAGACGTGATGTTCATGCGTTTTGAGAAAAACATCTTCACACATTTTGAGTTCTTCAGTGCTGACGGTATTGATCTTTTATTTTTTCACATCCTACCAACACAGCGCATTGAATATTTCGTAATACAGATGATATTAGGCCCCATTGTCTGACTCATGTAGATAACATAACAATTGAAACTAAACCTTTGTCCTTCTATATAGTGTATGGAAGGCTGGAAAATTGATCTAAATGAATACAACGGCTTTCAAAAAATCCCATATACATCAGCAGCAATGTAAAAGAAGCTTGAATAAAGTGGACGTTAAAACAAAACGAACCAATTTTTTAATTTTAAAATATTTTGCTGCCACCTTCTGGAATTTAATAAAATGGGCATCTCAAATGTTTGTAGCATGGACATAATTTAGCCTTCAACAGGAATTGCTAATGTTATTACAGAGGAATAATATAAACATTTCATCTTTATTACTTTTTAAATTCTGAACAAGTATGTCCAATTTCGCGTTCCACAGAGATGGAAGAGCACAGATTCAAATTTAAGGCTTTTATATGTGAATACAATAGAAAAAAAAATGTTGTGCATCAAGCATAACTCTCAACAAATGGCATGGATAATCAGCAGATCAAGCATTATTTGGTCATAAATAAATATAGGTACACAAAGCAAGGAGCTGCTCACAGATGATACATAAATGTCAATAATCATTCGCAATTAATTGCTAGTTTAAACCCAAGGTTACTCATTAGAAATCGGGGCCTCTTTCCCCCAGGTGTGCTGTGGCCTTTGCGTAACTGCACTGCTTTTAAAATGTAACTCTACATAAATAAACAAGAGGCAAACAAGTCCTAAGGCTTTGGGCTCTGTCCTACGTATTCTCTCCCTGTTTCTGTCAGAGCGATTTTCTTCTGCACAAGATGTAAAAATGTAATGCATTTTGGGGAAGATTAATATATGCAAATATAACACCAGTACAGAGAGTGTGTCAGAATTTCTTTATTGTTACTAAGATAACTGAAGCACTAATCTTATTTTAGAAAAGGAGCAATCACAAGCATTTAAACTGGAGGAAGAATGGGGTTGTCCGTATCCGTAGGCGGTCCAGAAGCCGACAGTTTTCTTCTGATGCACAAGATCAACGTTCCCAGAGCATCCTGGGGTTTGGTCGCCTCCATCGCTGCTCCTACAGGGCACAGATGATCTCTAGGACAGCCAGCTCTGCAGGGACCTGTGCAGCTTGGCAAGGTGCCTGGTCAGCTGGGGGTTCCTGCTTGCCAGGTGTGTTGCACAACCACCTCTGAAGGAATTTTGGAGTATTAGGAGATGTAAGCACCAGATGATTTACTTTTACGCTGCTGTCATGCCCTCATCTCTAAAATTTCATTCAGATTAATGCACAGGTGCTGAGATGTTTTTCCTAGAGAGCACTGAAATGAGTTTGTTCCTTATGGAAAGCGTTGTCCGTGTCAGCACTTAAATCCTAAGTGGGCAGTTTTGGACAATTACCCAACCGTAAGAGCGGGGCTGATGACCCTGTGTCAGTCCTGTCTCCTACAGCGAGAGTGCATATGCCGAGTGGCGTACATGTACGTACACCTTGTGGTAACAGCTGCGTGGGTTGTACGTAGGATATGGGCATAAAGAATGAATCCTGTCCACTTCAGCTGTCTTCTGCAGGGCATGGGTGACGTCGGACTTTGGCCCAGGTAAGAAAGTCGCTCAGCGTTGGCAGAAGGCCCCAGTTTTGATGCGTAGATGTGCCTGTCCACTGCCGTTCGCCAACGCCTCTGCGTGTAGTTACGGAAAACGCAGGGCCTCGACGTTTGGGGTGAGAGGCAGGGAGTCAGCGGCGCAAAACTCAAGGTCAGAGCCCGACGGCTGCAGCCGCGGCCCGAAGGCGGAGACGCTCCGCC